TGCGTTATGTAGCGCAACGTGTCGGTGTATTCGTATCTGTAATAAATAGAGCGTGGTTACGATATCAAGAGACAGGACAATACACGAAACGTCAAGGAAATGACCGTCATCGTATAACAACAGTTCGACAAGGTCGAGAAATTGTTCGCCACGTTTTGAGAAGATGAACGATTACTGCAAGGTGTGTTCGACGTGAAGTTCCTACTTTACATTATGTCAGCGAACAAACGATTTGTCGTCGCTTAAGAGAGGTGAATCTTCGTTCTCGCTCTCGTGCACAGGTGCCAAGACTTACATTTGCACATCGTTAGGCTCGTCTTCAATTTGCTCAAAATCACATAAATTGGACCGCGAGGCACTGGAGAAACGTTTATTTTTCGGACGAGTCGCATTTCTGCCTTTACGGCAATGATGCTCGCATATGCACTTGGCGCCGACAAGGGGAGCGTTATGATTGACGCTGCGTTATGCGAATAAGAGCTCATAACGGCGGTTCAGTGATGGTATGGGGATGCATTTCGATGACGAGACGAACTGAATTAGTAATTTTGCCACCTCCAGCAATGACGGCTATTCGCTACGTAAATAATGTTCTCCGGCCTCAAGTTTTGCCTCTGCAGCATCTGTTATGTCGAAATTTTATATTCATGCAGGACAATGTTCGGCCCCATACGGCAAATGTAACGCAGCGGTTTTTTGAGCGACATGGCATCACATTGCTCCATCATCCTGCTAATAGTCCGGATTTGAATCCGATTGAACACATTTGGGACGAGATGGAACGACGATTAAGACGCCGCGAAGAACAGCTACGAAATTTGTATGAGCTGCGAGAAGCGTTTAGGCAGATTCGGAACGAAATTCCAGTAGCCTTCATCCAGAGATGTGTAAACATGCGACAACGATTGCAAGCGGTCATCAATCAGAGAGGAGGAAACACAATATTAAATACACCCTCATACACGCAAATGCTCATCTCATCTCCTTACACACACACACACACACACACACACACACACACACACATGATATGCAAATTCCGACCGACAACCTCCACGTGGTGCACATTGGGTTACGCTAATGGCGGCGGTAACCACTATTTTTCCGAAAATGGCAAGAGCACTTCGAAAATTCTGATCAAAAAAGACATCACATAATAATCTTTTAACTTCAGGTTAGAGTAACTTCGTCAAAAATGGTCATAATGAGATTTCTAAAAAAGCATTTTAAAGGTTGAAATCTCTACTTTCAAAATCGGTAATTGATATTTCAATCTAACTGATCTTTGACGAAGCTATACGGACACAAATGGATATTTGTCAAATCTAAAACATATCGTATAATTTTGTACACACTTTACAGAGGTCTATAGCGTGAGGTAAAAATAACACGAAAATGCGGTTGCAGCAGTCGAAAGAGTGAATCTTTACCTTCAATTTCCTTTTTTATTGATTGTTGAACGATTTTTTTCCACCGAGTTATTGAACGTTAAAGTAGAAGTGATCACTTTTGCTTCATCGTTCAATAATTCGGTGAAAAAAAATCGTACAATGTTTAATAAAAAAAGAAATTAAAGGTAAAGATTCACTCTTTCGACTGCTACAAATCGCATTTTCGTGTAATTTTTACCTCACGCGATAGACCTTTGTAAATTTTGTAAAAAATTTTTAGATTTGGCGAATATCCATTTGTGTCCATATAACTCCGTAAAATATTAGTCATATTGAAATTTCAATCATAGATTTCGAAAGTAGAGATTTCAACCTTTAAAATCCTTTTTTAATTTTTTGTCTGCGATGATTTTTCATTGAATTATGGTGTTCTGAATATTGCCCAATTTTTAGCGTGTTTGAAAGTGTTCCCTAGATTTTGTTGAATAGTGTATTATATTTTTTATATTCGTTATTTTTTAGTTTATCACTGTTTAAAATCGCCTTTTTAAAAATATATTATTGAAAGTCTTTAGTAAATATTACTTGGAATATTTCCTCTGATTCAATGTCCATTTTTTACTATTTTCATATGCCTCTTTCATCATGATTAATAATTGTTCTTGAAAATAAATATCTCTCTTAGTAACTGTAAACAGTTTATTTTTAGTAATAAATAAGTAATAAATAAGTCAAGCTTGTTATATTTATAAACAGTTCATAGTTTCTTACTATTTAATCCATTTGGAATTCCTGAAAATATTCCAATTCCAATATCTTCACTTTTTTCAATTTCGCTTAAAGATTCTGAATTTGTTGAATCCGATGAATAATCCAGATTTTCACTTATATTCTGTTTTTTATGTTTGTTTGTAGATAGAGTTAATTGTTGAGAGTTAGTTGTAAATGGTAATGAAGAAGAACACTGAGAAATTGCTGATGTCATATTTGCATTATTGGAAGGAGTTAAAGAAGAAATTGAACAGTTTCTGTCTACTATAAAGTCGAGGGATTTGACAGAAAATATGTTGATGTTGAAGAGCTTTGAGAAATTGCTGATGATATATTTTTATTATGACTATTTGAAGGACTTAGAGAAGAAATAGAATGGTTTTCACTCAGATTTTCTCTTATATTCTGTTTTTTATTGTTTGTAGATAGAATTAATTGTTGAGAGTTAGTTGTAAATGGTAATGAAGAAGAACACTGAGAAATTGCTGATGTCATATTTGCATTATTTGAAGGAGTTTAAGAAGAAATTGAACAGTTTCTGTCTAATAAAGTCGAGGGATTTGACGGAAAATATGTTGATGTTGAAGAGTTTTGAGAAGTTGTTGATGATATATTTTTATTATGACTATTTGAAGGACTTAGAGAAGAAATAGAATGGTTTTCACTCAGATTTTCACTTATATTCTGTTTTTTATTGTTTGTAGATAGAATTAATTATTGAGAGTTAGTTGTAAATGGTAATGAAGAGAAGAACACTGAGAAATTGCTGATGTCATATTTGCATTAT